AGTAAATGCTAGGGCATTCACGAAGGAACAGGATATTTCTAGAAAACAGGTGGCGAGATACTAGTCACGTGACCTCGCTGACGCAACATATATAATGACACTGGAAGGTTAAAGAAACCACAGCTCGAACATAACACTAGTTCCTTTTCTAGAATGTTGCAAATGATCCTAAAATAGCGTTTTGTAGTTATACCTAACTCAAGGCTTGTGTTACACTCAACACCTTACTAAAATCGACAGCAGTTAATTTTAACGATTAATAAACTTTTGACGTCATTTCAATATTTTGTTTGTATACTTCCGCATCAATCATCTGGAACTGATGTGCATAAAGTTACGTAATCTATCATGGTTCGCAAAAGATGGCGCCAGTAACCTTTGGTTTGTTATTCTGCCAACGTAATAAAACCTTCCCATAACTGTCAACTATTAGTGTGGGCATGGGCGTCCACAGGAAGGGGGAAAATTGAGCATTTGCCCCCTTTACATTTTACAAAAAAGTGCACGTATTATGATGTAAACTAAACATCGTAGTTAAACTAAACATTTTTAGTAATTTTTATTAAAACTGTAAATTTGTGTTTAAGCACACACAACACATATTCTTTTAGTCTGTTGACTTACACTGTAAAAGCTGATCTTCTACATACATGTTTTGCCTCCCTCCCCCCTTGAAAATATTTCTGTGGGCGCCCATGAATATGGGGAACAAACGGTTCACAGCTGGTTCAATTCCAATTTCTATTATAGATGTATATATTATATGGTTGCCTTATGAATTACCAGATTTAATTGTTTGTTTTAAAGCAAAGACACGTTGAGCTATTTGCTATGTCCATCGCGTGGAATCGAACACGGATTTGAAGGTTGTACGTCCATAAACTTACCGCTATCCCACCGGGGATGTCATATTTAAAGTCTTATTCAATTACAGAGTCTGTTACCACGTGAAGCTAAATATGCCTGTACTAAGTTGCTTGGTAGTTAAAGCTTATTATAATTAATTAAAAGTATCTGAAACTGTCCTCTTAATCAACCAGCTCAACATCTTAATTTCTTATATTTTTGTTTTTTTGTAAACTAAATTTAAGAAACATAAGTAAGACTAGATGAGGACTGAAGTTTTATCGAGTATTTATAATTTGGAGCCTGAATTTTGTGGTCATGGGTTCGTTATAAGAGTGACGGCCAAAACCCGTCGACCTCACAACAGTTGACGATGGTTGCTGTTGACTAGCTGCCTTCCCTCGAGTGACCTAACCTATCGGTTCAAAATTATGTATGGCTAAACGCAGTAGTATTTGTGTAGCTTTGTGCGAAATCCTGTAATAAAGTTTAAGGAGGCTTTAAATTACAGATAAACCTGGTAGTGGCCAAGCTGCAGCTCTGAACTAGTCATGGCATAGCAATATTTGGTGTCTTATTTCAGTCACAAACACCATTCGAAACTGAATGTATATTATATATACACACACATACACATTAGCTGATTCGCTTCATCATTCTTTGTATTATATCAATCGCTGATGTTACAGTAAAAATAACATATATATTATCTATTTCGTCATAAAAATATATTTAGTTGTTTGTT